CCCTCGCGGCTCGCGCGATAAAGATGTACTCGATTGTTACCGTGACCGGGGAAAGGGGAGCAGAGCGGAGTGATTGCCGCAATAAACATTTTACGAGAACCGATGCGACCGGTTTATTTGTTTATCCGAGTTCCGTGCAATTAAATCGAGCATCTACGCGCCCCCCTTCGACAACTGAACACGGAAACGGGGAAGCCGCCGCGGAACGAACGTTGAACAGAAGAACTGTAACAAGTTCGCGAACCGAGCGGGTATGGGGACAGGAAGATCGGCCCTTGGGTTTTTATTCACGCTCGAACAATCTTTCCGCTGACTTCTTTTTTCACATATTCCGTGGGAGCCTTTTATGCGGAAATTGAAGTCTTTGTTAATTTATTTTCTTTCTGCGTACGTATGAAGCTTAACTTTATACTTTTATTCTTCATACTTTTTGATGTCCCTGTTCAGTAAGCAATTTCTGAAACTCTTTGTTACATCGAGATTCATGCTGTAATCGAAACTTAATTTAATTCAAAACAAGCTCCTTTAAACACGTAAAATATCATGTTTCTAAAATTACCAAACAGTCAAGCATCCCCAAAGCAGAAAACAAAGTTGCCGCGGCACCTGTGTCTATAACACCCCCAGAATAAAAAGGAAGGAATCGACTTTGCATAAAGTCGCCCGGTACGTCGACTCGCACGAATGGTAAAGGACGACAGTTAATCAGGATGAAAGCAACCGCGCGAGCGCACGTAACGCGATAAATTGGATAGGTCTTAGCTACCTGGCGGGCAGGTTATTCTAAGCGCGCAGTTTCCCTCGAAAACGGTCAGGGCACGATGCTGCACCGTTAGATCTCTCCCCTTCCCCTCGTTCTGCCCTGGTCACCCTTAAATGCAGGCTCCGACGGATCCTGAGGGCGAAAAATAAGTCGGCGTCGAAGAAAAGGTACTCGTTACCCCGCGCAGGGGACAAAAAGACAGAAGTTTTAGGATAGGCCCGAAACGGCACCCGCTGAGCTACCAGGAAGGACGATTATTGTTAATTAAGGTGGGCGTGTCGGGCAGGTCGCACGCCGGTTTCACGGCCCTTAACGAAGGGACAGGTCAGCCCGTTTTATGAATTCTAATGCCATCCACGGTTGTTCGGTCCGGGCCCGGTTGACGAAATTTCTCTATCCCGCATTTGCATTTCACCGGTGGCCGGACTCCGACGACTTTTAACCTCGTTCCCGGCCGCTCTTAACGCAATTAGCCCGCCTATTCACGGCCGCAGCCGCGTCCACGGTATTATCAGGTGTTGACGGTCACCCGGTACTTGATAACCAATCAAACAGCATTGTGCATTCGGCTTTCTCGTTTAATGGCTGCACGGAAACTTCCGATTTTATTAAAGACCCTGGACCATCTCAGATGCGTTGTTTGTTTTTAAGAGGTCTCAGTATGCTTTCAATAATTGTATGTTTATCGTTGTGTTCCGTCGTCGTTTTGTATAATGTTATTATTACAGTTGGCTCTGGAGATTTGAGACATAATTAGGGGTCTATTCTCTAGACTAATGAGACACTGGCTGGATAAGCTTAGGATTTCAGGATCATCCCATGATTTAGCGTCATCAGTGATTTCCTTTGTTGACACTGTTTCCTTAAATCCTTTCGGAACATAGTGTACGAAGAAGACATTGATACTTCAATATTATTTAAAATTTAAAGTAAACGTGGAAATCAACGTTTTCTGTTCCCATATATTAAATTGAATAATTATTAGCGACGATTAAATCTCTATTTCCTGTAATACATTCGAAGTGTCTCCAATAGGATGACACGATCTTGAATAGCCAATGAAATTTAATCTACTATAGAAGAACATCGAACTAACAAAAACAGCGGGTTGCTTATCGAAAAACAATTATGTCAAATGTTGCGTTGCCGATAGAAGAAGACGATGGAAAGACCAAGTTACCGAGAGAAGGAAATTTGCTTCAGTGTTGGAAAACATTATAAAAGCGAGTAATAAGAACGAGCTTTGTTCGCAGCGTCGCGTGTTTCGTTTCTGGCGACGACGCCGAAGACGATCTCTTCCCCATTGATCCTGACGTATCCGTGTTTCCCGGGCCCCGGATGATTCGAATTAGCGGCCAGAAAATTAAACCTTTGATGTCGTCGCGCCGACGTCGGTCACACAAAAAAAATTCCGGCCACTCTGTTGAAACGTATATTATCCGCTCACGCTTCCCGATTTCGTTTCTATTCTCGGGGTTGTTTCGTAACGTTGCCGGCGAACCCGAGGAAACTTAATTGAATACGCATATTGAAGTAATTACCGTCTGATGAATCTAAATTGAATTCTACGCGGATAACGTGCCATAAAATGTAACTATTCAACTTCTTTATTTTACCGGAATTTCGTACGCAACGCGAACTATTTAACTCTTACATTATATTGCGACCTTTGTAAATTAATAACTGAGTGAAACATAAAATGAATAGAATAATAAAGTCCAACGACTCCCTTCATTCTGTCCTTTGCCTCGCGAAACCGTTTGTTCTGGCAACAAATGACTGCTTAAATTCTCTTTTAATAAGATGTTACGAGGTTTTCGTGTTCAACCCTTTACGTAATGATTTACTTCGTGATTAAATGGAGAGAGTGTCTCTATTGTTCGTGGTTTCCCAAAAGGAAAAAGAATTATGTTGTACATATTCATTGCAGATAAACTTCCATTTTGTAAGAGTATATTGAATTCCGTAAAAATCCGGTATTGGTAAACGTGAAATAATATTTCACTGGTATGAACTGGTAATACTCATATTCACGGAATTCAATGGGAAATCTTTGCCACGCGCCTGACATAAGACTACAGGTTAAGACATTAATTTTACTTATTATTTGTTGCAGAAGAATTCACGAGAATTGTAGGATGTTTGCAAAGATTATTTAAAATAAATCATTCTGTATTCCATCTACTGTAGATTACAAAGGATGATGGATTAATTAGTTCACACGCTACATTTCGAAGCTAACAATTGCAGCAAGCCGAAGAAGGGAAGAGACATTAGCCGTAATAGTCAGCGAACGAAATCTCATTCCGCGACGCGCTTTGATGTCGAAGTTGTAGGCTTCAATACAAATGGATGCGTAGAAGTTGCACGGCTCCGTTGTGTTCGAAAGCTGTACGCGCGGTTACGAACAACGTGAACGGATTAATGAAACGTCTTAATATCGCGGGACGGTGGAAAGGTTGCATTAAAACTTCCGATGTGAACATTCCATCTTCCGTTACTCTGCCGTCCCTTGAATTAAGGTACGCTAACGTTTTATCACGAACGTGGAAATTATTTCGAGTACCCGATTATAGATTTCAGTGAAACTGATTTAATTTAAAATTAAAGAAATTAAAATGTATCACATCTTTGTAACACTAGGTAAATTAGATTGCTATTGTATATACTATAAAACTGTAACCATTAAATTCTAGACTAATATTGAAATAAACGTATCTTGTTACTA